ACGTCATGATCTACACCACCATGCAAGCTAATTATAGCTTCCATGTATGTCAGACAAGCAAGCAAGGTCACGCTCGATCAGGAGCCCACGGTCGCGATGCTCTCGCTCTCGCTCAACACTATGCCTCCGTCGGGTCACTTGGCCATGCATGAGCGCGTGCAGCCCCATGGCAAGAAGGTCGTGTCCGAGGCATACAGCGCCATTGTCGACATGGTAGCCCGGCTCAGGATTGCCGCGGGTGCACGGGATTGCGTGGTAGAGAGAGCCGGACTCTAGTCGGATAAGAGCCGATTAGCAAGCAAGCAAATTATGCGGGGCTTACGTCACCATGATGTGAACATGATCCCAGCAATCTAGCCAAAAGTGATCGACGTATTAATATTGGTTTCTGCATATACGTGCTTACGCATGCACCGGTCACACCTGCAAAAATCCTTGTGACTTGTCTCTAACATGGGATCGACTATGCGGGTTCGCCTACGACTTCGCGCACCCGTTCGACTGCGTCAAGCCACCCAAGCCACCGAGCGAGCTGCAGAAGGACGACGTCGCCCGGACTACTTACTCCGACTACCTGACGCGTCGCAATGATGACCACCGTCATGATGACAACTCTCCGACCACAGCTTGGGGACTTCACCGCTCGCCCCTCAACCTGTGCTCGGGTACTGCCTCGACAACTCTTCGACCATAGCTCAGGGATTTTCACCGCTCGCCCCTCGACCTGTGCTCGGGGACTGCCTCGACCACTCTCCGACCACAGCTCGGGGACTTTGCGTCTCAACTACATGCGACTGGTGACTCGCATACAATTGGGATATTCTTTCTCGTTTATACCTTGCTACAAGGCTCATACCTCGCCTTCCAGCAAGCTCAGGGACTACATCGGTACGATGCACCTGCCGGTGCATCTTGTATCGCCTGTACGATGATTTGTTTCTCAACTTAATTGGGAATTCTTTTTAGACCCTGGCACCACGTGCCTGCGTCACCTACTACCAGGCTCGGGGACTAAGTGGGCACACTTCACCTTGCGGTGAATGTGCTCGATCTGATGGATCAAACGCCTCCGATTCTACAAGGACGACGGTGTCTCTTTTTGACTCAAAGTCAAAGTGGGCACACTTCGGGGGAAATATTTTTCAAATTTTATCTTGAGCCCCTTACATCCTTCTAGCAAGCTCAAGACGACGCTACTCAAAGGATACAAGGCACTCGGGGACTAGCTGTGGGGGTATGGCCCCCGGTATCCTCAAGACAAGACATGGGCCGCACCATCAGAGGTGGCCCGGCCCATAAGATCGAGGCGTGCAAGGCAAGATTACAAGTTGTACTAGATATTGTAATAGTACCAAATAGAATACTTTACTTATAACCCTCCTCCTCCAGACTATATAAGGAGAGGCAGGGGACCCCCTCACGGGTTAATCGGTATACATCTCAATACAATACACCAAAGACACAGGACGTAGGGTATTACATCGATCAGACGGCCCGAACCTGTCTAAATCGTTGTCTCTGCGCCTTGTGTCACCATCTGGTTCCTGATTACACGCACCATCTACCGATAATCTACCACCACGGGCACCCCCCTCGGTGGACTGCCGACCATATTTCGTCGAAGTGAGCCGCTAAGCGAGCCATCAAGCGAGCCGCACGGGCCCTGAAGAGGACCGAACTCTGTGCGCGTCTGGTCGCCTGGACCGGACTGTGTCCGGTCGGTTTTATGCCCTCTAACCCCTCTCTGGAACGAACCGTACTCGTGGGCGTAGGAGCGTCCGGACCTTGAGCGGTGCGTCCGCTCCATCTTAACTGAGCACGAGCAAGTTAGTAGCCATTGGAGATCGACGGCTGTCGTTAAACACTGGGGACACATGCTAGCATCTGGGTGACCGGACTCTACCACCGATACGTTCGGTCCGGACCAGAGGCAGGTCCGATGATGTCTGCGTGAGCCTAACGGCTAGTGGAGCCTTGGGGGCTCTATAAATAGATTGTGGCCGGCTTATGTCCCTCTTGGACATTTTGATCATTGATACATCCTTGTAAGCTAAGACAAACCTCTCCCACTCATTTCCTTCATAGATTCATCATCTTTGTGAGATTGGAAGTGATCCTAAGTGCATTTGCTTGAGTGATTGCATTTGGTGGCATTTGGGGATTATTATTGCTGCGGTTTTCTTGTTACTCTTGGTGGTTGCCGCCACCTAGATAGCTTGGAGCAGTAGAGGAGAATTGGCAAGAGTTGGTGATTGTTCTTGGCCATCTCCAATTGAGATTGTGAGGGGTTCTTGAGCCTTCTCTGTGGGAGATCACGAAAGGCATCTTTAGTGGATTGCTTGTAGCTTGTGGATCCCCATCTTGTGTTGGTTGTGCGGCACCCGATAGCGGGTTAGGCATGTGAAGCCTATTAGCGTATGAACCTTGGAGAAAAATCATTGTGTCATGTTGTCTCTGGGATTCTATATTGGTATTCTTGTTTATCACTGATCACTTGCCACGGTGGTATATTACTCTCTATCCCTTGTTTTACTTTCTTTGTTGCTATATTTTGTAGTGGTAGTTAGTGTTCTAGCTAGCCCTCTAGTAGTAGAGTAGCAACTTAGCCTTTGTGTGTGCTAGAGATCATAATACAACTAGAATTGTGGTAGGTGGCTTGCAACCCTAGTAGTGCTAGCGCAAAATTGCTTTACACCATTTAGTTGTCTAGCTCGTTTGTTTAAGTGTTGTTATAGAGATTTTTATAGGCTATTCACCCCCTCTTGCCATTTAGGACCTTTCACCATCGCACAGCGAAAAGTGCGGAACAGACTGTGGATCAAGAAGAAGCTTAGCCATAACTGATTGTGCATGAACATCTGCATATATAACGATGAATGGTAGAGGGCTGGCTTAATCTTGGAAGAATTGAGAAGTGTGTGTTGAGGAAGACATTTGACAATGAGGAATGGTATAGTCTCTGCTAGTGATTAGATAATCGATGTGTGGGACTTCAATGGTTAACACTCAGGACACAAGAGAGTTTATGCTGGTTCAGGCATCAAGCCCTACATCCAAAGAGTTCATATTAGAGTGTTCAAGAGTTTGCAATCAGGGTAGGTAAGTGATGAGCTAGTTCTCTAATGGAGGGTCGATTGCCTCTAAGGTTCCTCTTGCCCCTCCTTATATGTCCAAGGGACAAGGGAAGTACATAAAATGGTTTTAAGTTGTTCTTGTATGGCAAGGAAAGCATCCTAGAATCTTTTGTCCTCTTCTTCCAACCGTTGGTGTCATCTCCCTTGCCTGCTCTTGACAGTCATGGCCGACACAGCCGCCCCTACCAGACGATGCCTGACTCAGCTTTTTATAGGCGACTAGAGTAGATAGGGTGGGCAGGCAACATTCTGATCCACCCGTCCCTAGTTCTCTCGGCCCTCAACATCCATGGCACGCTAGGGTTTGGGATTTCACAGAGACTGGAGTGTGGGCCTGCGCGCTTTGCTCCCTGTGGGCGATGAGGATAGCACACACCACTATTTGTCTTCTATCACGCTTCGGGTGTGACCTGTGGGGTGACTCCTAGCCTCTCACCCTCACTGGGAATGCACAGGGAGAGGCCGAGGGTTTCCCGCAGGTGATGGAGCAATTGAGAGTGAAAGGGTACAAGTGATTAGGCGAAGGTATCCCATGTGGGAGAAAGAATAAATGCGGATTAATGTCTCATTAAATCATCTAAAAAACCTCCCCTCTTACACGAGCACCCTAGGTATTTATAGGCCATACCTAGGGTCACGGTGAAATTACACTAGGGTCGACCTTGACGAGTTAGCCGTAATACAACGACCAAGGGTAGGGCGGTAATCCTCCCCCCTTGGCCAACTACCCTAAACTCTAAGAGCTTTGGTGGGGCCGCCGCCGTCTTCACGCCGGTTTCCCTTGGCGGCTTGCGCTAAACCCTCGCACGCCCGGAGCGAGGGCTCACCATCCGCGTAGCTGGGGTCCTGCTGGAACAACCCTCGGTCATTACGTCGAACCTTCGCACGTGATACCTGATAACAGGGGACAGTTGATGAGCAAAAACCCTCGTGGCGGGGGTTAGCACCCACCATGAGGCCAGTCAGTCAAGCTAGAAAAGGGGTCGAGTGCCAGGTAGAGGGCTGAGCTGGGATCGTCTTCCTCCAACATGACTGTTGCCAAAGAAGGCAAGCAGTGCCACTCCTCGCCAAAGCGAGGAGACAACCCGACGCTGTCACATAGGTGTCAGGTGGCAGCATTGTAAAGTACTACCATCAAAAGATTCCCAACGTCGCTCGGGGTCAAGCGGGACCGGGCAGGGATCCCTGAGGTCCTTCGTTCGGGCCATGCCGGTCCGGTCGGGTTCACCTAGCGATGAATAACTAAATGGGTCTAGGCGAGGGCCTCTAGGCCCCGTTAGCCGGGCCATGTTCGTTCGGTTGTAACCCCCGAGTGAAGAATAGGCTGGCCGTCGCTCGGGGCGGACCGAACCTCGGGTGTCTTGGCTGATATCTGCCGGGGACGCGCGAGCACACCGGCCCGCCGGGTGTAGCCCCCCGAGTCGCTTGTTGATTGGTAGAATCAGTCGAGGGGTTAATCTCCTCGCAAAGACATTTAGTGGGAGGCTTACATAACCCTGGTGTTAGGTATTCGTCAGTGACCTTGTCAGTTTTTCAGAAGTTGCATTCACATCAATACCTTCATATTTTACGTCTTTATTTTGAGTTTAGTTTACATATATTTATTCTAGCATATATACTTGTACATCTATATCAACTAGATGTACACACACTCATTTAGTTATATTAATTAACAAACAGTTGCATACATGGATCCATTTATTTATTCATTCATTTATTGTTACAGTGATATGGTATTAAGGCCAAAGTGGGGTAGCGCAGCAAATGTATCGAGCCTTATCTTTTGCAGCAATGGAAGTAGAAGTTTCTGCGCGTGTGTAGACGTTCTTCATACGAGAAGCTCGCTTCAGACTTTTGTATACATACTCAGATGCTGAACAGGCCATACTTGGCTTTCTTCCCATCATGTTTGTTGCCAACAGAAATAATCTCGTCCACTCTCAGGGTCTTGTATTTCTCGAGCTCTCCTGCAGCTATTTCAGAATGTGGACCCACGCTCGTATCAACCTTTGGTGCGTGAAATGCAGAAATGGACATGCTCTCCTTCTGAGGATTAACGGTGACCCTGTGCTCAATGCTCAGATACTTGCCATTTGTCAATATCTACAAATAAAGAATTGAAGTGCTAGCATTAGGGAAGATATATATATATATTTTATGTGGCTCGGCTCATCAGTATTTATTAATTTTATGTGAATAAGATACCTCAAGAATGTCGCCAACATTGACGACCAGTGCTTCGGAGTGGAGTTTTATGGGCACCCATATATGCACCATGTCTCTTGATCTGGAGCCCTTGTACATGATTCAGCTCCCATACCAACGTTAAAGTAGATAAAATGTCGGAATGTGGTGAACACCCTAAAACCTTATCATGAGCAACGGGGCATGCAGGGTAGCAGGCCATCGCTAGTGCCTGAACACTGCCGTATCTATCTCTAAATTTGTCGGGATCAACACCTAGGTTTTTGGCGATCATCTGCATGAGCGAGTGAGCGATCCTCATCACCTCAGAGGAGTAGTGGATTCCCTGTTAAGTTGCATGCATGCGTTGAAACAGTTAATAATTCATTCGTATCAGCCACACAAATGCTTCTTATTACTGTTACAATATTTATTTAGGTACATGCATGGCGCAAGTCTGCAAGACATATATAGATACATACTCCATACATTCACATGTTTTATTTTGGAACCTTTTCTTTTTCTTTTTGTTTTAACGATGAACAAAGGGAGGTCTATTGCTTAAGAGATAATTGCCCTGTACGTTTGAATTTATCAGCCTTGCTTACCTGAAATTAACAGGAGTTGTGTAGGCCATGCTGTCATGTCACGATCGCGAGGTGGCTGGGTCATCAGGTCAAAACTGTCAGTCCAGTCCAGCGTTTTATTATTATTATGTTCCGAATTATGGACCAACTCTTCATCTCCCGGCAGCACCTGACCAAATTTCTTCTTCTTGTCCTGGGAAAGTCTGAAGAAGTACTCTAGGTTGTTCCTCATCTTTTCAAGAACTGTGTCAGGAATTCCATGGTTTTTCACCTGTAAATATAGTTTATTGCAGAAAAATAATTATTGTAAGACAAGGTAAAGTGAGCCAGCCAAACATTAAAATAAAATAAACCAACGACACTAGCTATTGCTGAAAAAAACAAAATTATCATAATCGATGTAAAAATACACATTTTGTGATGCTAATTTATTAGGGAGTTCGTTGTTATGATGCTAATTTTATTAGGGAGTTCGTTGTTATGAGTATGATATCGTCTTCCGATAAATTTATCTTTGGAGGTGCTAATGGGGATGAGGCAGGTACCGTACCGGGTATATATGGACCAACTCAACGACTACATGCAAGTGTGTTAGGACATATATGAATTGCTGGGTGAAACTAACTTACCCGTGGGGAAAAATTCTATGACAAAATATCATATATGGCAATATAATGCAAGTGTGTTACATTACTGTCGGGGACCTAATACTGGGGTACTCAATGAGGTGGAGCTAATAACCATCAAACGTTGATGCTCTCAAGCAGACAAAAATGCAACTGCGCTTCTTGTCCATACAACCGGAGGTTGGCCGCACCTTGCCCGACCCCCGAGGGCTGGACTCCGCCTCGCCCGATCCCCGAGGGATGGACTCCGCCTCGCCCGACGTCTGGGGGCAGACTCCGCCTCGCCCGACGTTTGGGGGCAGGCTCTGCCTCACCCGACGGCTAAGGGCTGGCTCTGCCTCGCCCGACGACCAGGGATGGGCCTCACCTCGCCCGACCCCCGAGGGCTGGCCCCGCCTCGCCCGACGACTGAGGGCTGGCTCCGCCTCGCCCGACGACTGAGGGCTGGCTCCGCCCCGCCCAACGTCCCGGGACAGGCTCCGTCTCGCCCGACCTCCCGGGGCTGGCTTCGCCTCGCCCGGCGACTGCACCTTGCTCCTTCATAATGACAGACACAGGGTAAGACAGGACATTTGAGTCAACCGCAGTACCGAGTACCATGCCCTACACGCCTATAGGAAAGTACCGTCAGGATACGACGGGACAGGCGCTTTAAACCCTTCCGTGCATGGCAGAGCCCGAACAGTGTTGTAGGCGCCGACTTTTGTCTTACAGTGTTGTGGGCGCCGCCATCAGCCCTCGGATGTGGATCCTGACATAGGTATACGACAACCACTACAATCCAAGAGAGAACTCGCATCATCTACAGTAACGAACGTATAGTCACTTCCGCGTCTGCTCCCCGTGGGGTCACGGCTCGGCACCCTGGCACGCCGCACCGTTCGCTGGACTAGGATGGGACGTGACCACTTATTGAAACAAAGCCAGAGCACGACCCTATCAGGATCAGCGAACGTGCCATCCTTGGCATGGTCTGCCATGTCAGTAGGGCAGGCTCAAGGGAAAATGAAGACCCGGTACCTTCGAAGGACCATCTCTACCTTTGGTTTTTTCCCTCTTTCTCCCATCTGTAACCCCTGCTCCCCCTTGGTCTATAAAAGGGAGGGCAGGACACCACGCTAAAGGGATGGATCGATTCCACACACGACATACAACCAAGCAGCAACCGGGTCTTCAACTATGGGAGGCTTGAGCACCAGCCCGGTGTCTCCCTTGGACCCCAGCGGTCTAGGGAGGACCCGCGCTGCCTCACCCTTTCTCTGTAACACTCCGTGCGGAGCACCCCAATGGTGCTTCTGTTCGGATTCCGCAACACCGCGGCAACCGTTATCCACCTTGTGGCACAGCGCGCGATCCCGTTCCCCATGAACAACGAGTTCGTGGGGATGATCGAAAGCATCATGGAATCCCTCCACGGCCTCCTCACTGAGGAGCTGGGGCCAGACTCTGGCTCTGACTATAGCAGGGGGAGCCATCACCCCTCCCAGAAATGTTTCATGGCGGGTACCCCCGAAGGACACGTCGAAAGCATCCTTGCGGAGGAGGCTACCCCAGTGGGCAACCTCGGCGATGAGATTGAAGGGGATACATTGGCCCCACCTCGCGTAGGGGTGGAGAAGCTAAGAGCCCAAAAGCGGGAGATCGAGGAAGACGGAATCCAGCTTGTGCGAGAATGCACGGAGGTCGATCGAGAGATCGATCGCTGCGGAGACGGTGGGCGCGCACGTGCCAGGGCTCGTGATGTGAACCGAAGGATCATCGCCGACGATGAAGCCCTTCCTCGCTTCGCCCAGGCAAGCCAGAATATCGCCGCCGCGACGGCCTTGCTCCACGGCCTTCTAGAGGCCGCGACGCCCGAGGATCATCAGGCCTACCACGAGATTCACACGCTGCTCGATCATGCGGCAGCACACGAGCTCGGCACCAGCCAGCGCACGCCCTCAGTGTGCCCCGCCAGGGACACGTCAGTCCACCAGGCACCACAAGGCGGTAGGTAGCGCGCTGCGATGCTGATACATCAACGTCTCGGCCACAACCACGACGCACGCAGCACTCTCGATGCCCACAGACGCACCTACAATGACCCGAGGAAAGGAGCCCACCGCGGCTATCATCCTCGTCGCGGCGGGCGCTACAACAGCGGTGAGGACTGGAGCTCAATCCCTGGCCTACCGGGCCCTCAGGCCTTCGGCCGCCACATCCTCAACGCTGCTTTCCCGCCAAGGTACCGACCGCCTACCAATATCCCTAAGTACTCTGGGGAGACAAACCCCGGACTTTGGCTCGAAGACTATTGGCTTGCCTGTCAAGCCGGTGGTGCGGATAATGACGACTTCATTATCCACAACCTTCCACTATTCTTAGCTGATTTGGCATGAGCATGGTTGGAACACCTACCGCTCAACACAATTCAAAGTTGGGCGGATCTGAAGGAAATCTTTGTGGGGAACTTCTAGGGCACATACAAGCGCCCTGGGAACCCATGGGACCTCAAGAACTGCCGTTAGAAGGCCGGTGAGACCCATCCGAGGGTACATCCGGCCCTTCTCCCTGTAGTGCAACGAGCTCGCTAACATCGCCGACACCAACGTTATAGGAGCCTTCCTGTCCGGGACTACCTATGAGTCTTTAGTTCATAAGCTAGGATGCAAGGGCCCGCGAACCACCAAGGAACTCCTGGACATCGCCACCAGCCATGCCTCAAGAGAAGAGGTGGTCGGAGCGATCTTCGATCGCCTCGAGGGCAAGGCAAGGTGGGACGAGGGTGCCGGCAAAGGCACCTCCAGTCGTTCTGCCAAAAGGAAGAATAAGAAGCAATGGCGTGAGGATTCGCTCGTGGCCGCTACTGACTGCAAGGGTGGCCAAAAGCCCACGGAGGGCACTCCGAACCACTTTGAAAATTTACTCGAGGGATCGTGCCCGAACCACGCCTTTCCTGTTAAGCATCTGCTCAAGGACTGTAGCCTCATGCGGCGGTTCTTATTCGGAGGCTCCAACAAAGGGGAGCAGGGAAAGGACCCTGCCCCCACTACGGACGATGCCGAGGAGAAGGACGATGGCTTTCCAATGCCAGATGGCTGCCTTATGATCTTTGGAGGATCAACGGCCTACGACTCCAAACGCCGTCAGAAGGTCGCATGCCGCGAGGTCTATACGGCCGAACCAGCCACACCTTCCTTCCTCTGGTGGTTAGAATCCGCCATAACCTTTGATCGGACCAACCATTCAGATATCATCCGGCACCTGGGGAGATATCCCCATGTGGTCGACCCGATCGTTGGCCCAAAGTGGCTCACCAAAGTACTGATGGATGGAGGCAGCGGCCTCAACATCATGTACACAAAGACGCTCGACGAGATGGGTTTCGACCGGACACGCCTCCTTCCAACCCGAGCACCTTTTCACGGTATCGTGCTTGGGAAGCAGGCCATGCCACTCGGGCAGATCGATCTGCCCATTACCTTCGGGGATCAGTTCAATTACAGGACTAAAACCCTCACCTTCGAGGTGGTTGGGTTCCTCGGAACGTTCCACACCATCCTGGGATGTCCATGCTACGCGAAGTTCATGGCCATTCCCAACTATACATACCTCAAGCTAAAGATGCCGGGCCCCCATAGGGTCATCACCGATGGCACCTCCTTCCAGTGCGCCTATGAGTGCGAGGTCGAGGGTTGTGGTCACACCGCAGTAATCATCGCCTTAGGGGAGCTCGCCACCCTCAAGGAGGAGGTCACTGAAGAAGCGCCCGATGCCAAGAAGTCGACCGAGTCGTTCAAGTCAGCAGAGGGCTCTAAAGGGGTCCTCATAGATCCCAGCAGCTCCGAGGGCAAAATGGTACGCATTGGTACCACGCTTTGCTCTGAATAGGAAAGCGCGCTCGTCGACTTCCTCCGCGGCAATAAAGACATCTTTGCGTGGAAACCCTCGGATATGCCAGGCATTCCGAGGGAGGTCGCCGAGCATACCCTGAAAATCCACCCAAGCTCCAAGCCAGTGTAGCAACGCCTGTGTCGCTTCGACGAGGAGAAACGTAGGGCCATCGGTGAAGAGATAGCAAAACTATCGGCTGCCGGGTTCATCAAAGAAGTATACCAGCCAAAGTGGTTAGCCAATCCCATTCTTGTATGAAAGAAGAGTGGGAAATGAAGGATGTGTGTTGACTATATGGGTCTCAACAAGGCGTGCCCAAAGGATCTGTTTCCTTTGTCGCGCATAGACCAAATAGTCGACTCTACCTCGGGGTGCGAAACCCTCTGCTTCCTTGATGCGTACTCCAGCTACCATCAAATCACGATGAAAGAGTCTGACCAGCTCACGACATCTTTCATCACCCCCTTTGGATCATTCTGCTACGTCTCAATGTCGTTCGGTCTAAAGAACGCTATGGCTACGTACCAGCGCTGTATGCTCAAATGCTTCGGGGACCTCATCGGGCGGACCGTTGAGGCCTACGTCGATGACATCATGGTTAAGTCTAAATGGGATGACCACCTCATTGCCGATCTTGAGAAAACTTTTGCAAAACTCCGAGCAAATGGCATCAGACCCAATCCCGAGAAATGCATTTTTGGGGTCCTGAGGGGCATGCTGCTCGGCTTCATCATCTCCAAGCATGGCATCGAAGCCAACCCAGAGAAAATCT